ATATATATATATATATATATATATATATATATATATATATATATATATAAAATTTATGAAAAATTGATATGGGTACTCAAATGAAAGCTCTCGATGAGTGTAACATCGGAATGAGCTTATATCTTTAAAAATGTCAGTAGTTCACGAGATACAAGCTCATTTCTTAATTGATACCCTGGAGAAAAAATTTTTTAATACTAATTTTTTTTTACTAAAATAACTTCCTAAATACATTAATATATATTTTTTATTTCTTCTTTCTTTAACATTTAATTGTCATCTATAATAATTAATAATTATATCAAATAATAATAAGAATAAAAAATTAAATTTTATATTTGACACAAGCTCGGCACTTAAACTCAGACCCTAAAAAATAAAATAGCAATAAATGAATAAAAATTTTAAATATCTAAAAATAAATTAAACTCAACGCTCACCAGCCTTCAGAAATTTTAAAAATCTCCAGTACTTTCCTCAAATAATAAATTTAAATAAACATAAATAATAATAATAAAATTTAATTAGCCGGTGAAATAACAATGTGAAGTTTAAGCATGTCTTTGTTGGGCCCGACTAAGTACGGAGAAACGGGATTAACAAGAGATCTAGCGCTTTGCTGGGGGTTCAATTCTTCAAACGGCAGTAGATCGTCTAAATTAAGGACACGGTCTGTTTTATTGAATCTGTGAATCACTTCGGTGACCCTGGCGATGTGCTCAACGCCATCTTGGAGTCCGTAGATAAGAACTCCTATTTTTACACGCATGTCATTGTCGGCTTCAATGGGTGGCTCTTTGCAGGTCAATGATAGCCTGACGGACCGGATGACGTGCTCGGGCATTTCGACGGTTCCTTGCCAGACGATCAGGAAGAATTTCTTGAACCAGACACCCTTGGGGTAAATGTCTACAACCCACTCGCAAGCTCTGTCACCCGCGTGCTCTGCTAGGAATGAATGACTGGAGAATACCTGGAATTTTTAATTAATTAATAAATTTTAATAATTTTTTTATAGATACAAAATTAATTTTAATGATTTTTTACTGATAGAATTTATTTTATTAAAAAAAATTTTTGGCTTTATATATACTCCCTAGAAGAGTTTCTGATAGCGAGAAGGCGTAGCCACCTAGCGGCAAAACCAAGAACTAATTTTTAATAAAAAGTTCCAACTAATTTATATAATTAAGAGAATAAGTAAAGTTTTGTCACTAGTGTATTTATTCAATAAAATTAATTTTTAAATTTATATTTAGCGTCATTAAAAAGATTTTAACTTAAATTTGTGTCTTTTTAATTTTTTTTATAACAAAATTTTCATAAGATTAATATTAAGGATTTTTTGCAAAGAAAATTCACTTTAATATTAGAGGAAAATTTTGTCTTTATATATACTCCCTAAAGAGATTTTTCTAATAGCGAGAAGGCGTAGCCACCTAGCGGTCAAACCAACAACTTATTTTTAATAAAAAGTTCCGATAAATTTATGTAATTAAGAAAATAAGAAAAATTTTGCCTTCGGCGTAGGGTAAATGCACCAGTTGTTGACCGATGTATAAAAAAGTTAATTAATTAATATTTTATAAGGATTTTTTTTTTCTTAAAGTATTAACATAAAAAAATATGGCATTTAATCATCATAATAAAAAATTACGCGATTATAGCTTTAAAAAAATATTCTGAGTTTGTTTACAACGCAACCAGCCATAAAGCGGTCAAAAATAACTAGCGTACAATTGGAGAGTGAGTGCATTTCATCATTAATTTGGTGATATTTATCGGCATAATATAAAATATTTTAGTTTTATTATGTTAATTAAAGATCAGATTCCAACTTTTTTGAAAAAATAAATTTAAATTATAAGTTTTAATATTATTTTAAGACCGGTCAACTATTGGATCCGTCAGAAGCCCTTTACCCAGTCAAAAATTCATTCGGTCATTTATTAGACCCTCTGATTTTATCACAATCCAATTAATCACCGTATATTTATAATACTAACTTCTTAACATCAAAATTAAATCTGTCAAATGTTTAAAGTACTTTAGTCATTCAATATTTTGTAAATATAAAAATAATCATTATAAAATGTATATTTATAATTAAAATAATACTTAAAATCTTTTTTGATTATTAAATTTTATTTTGTTCTAATTTTTTTAGTGAATGGTTATATCAAAGAACGAATTATTAGAAGAAAAAATTGCTTAGCAATTAGAAAAATAAAAAAGAGTTACAAGCTAGTAAAAAAGCTTTAATTGAAAAAAAGGAGGAGAAGAATAAAAAAATTCCAAGTCAATCAGAAGAATTATCGTGATCAAAATGAATTTGTGATTATTTGTGACCTAAAGAAATGTGACTTTATGTTAATTATTGCTATTATTTATATTATTTTATAAAAAAGTACGATTTAAAATTATATTGTATGTTTAGTTTTGTTAAAGATGTCATTAATACTTCAAAAGTACTTCATAAATTTAATTACATACATGTAGTTTACAAAATTACTTATAATTATTTGAGCGGTCAATTAATTGGAGAACGGTCGGTCATTTATTGGGTTTCTTCGGTCAATAATTGGTGATTTTAGTATTTCAAAATTCAAATAACAAAATTAATATAATTTTGTTAATTTTTAGTATAAATAGTTATTAATTATTATTAATTAAGTATTTAAATTTAGTAAAATCCATTACAAATTGTTTTTAGTAAGGTAAAAGCCCCTATTATTGACATGTTGTTTTATTTTATTGATTATTTAATTAATTTTATGATTAAATCATAATAAACATTGCTTTTTATCAATTTTTAGAAATTTTTTAGTAAGAAAAAAGTAAAATTTTATGCCTGGGTATTAATTATTAACTGCAATTTTTTAGTAAGAAAAAAGTCAAATTTTATGCCTGGGTATTAATTATTAACTGCAAAAAAATTTTATTTTTCCGGGTAGACCACTACGGCTAGTTTATTTAAAATTTCTTAACAATTTCGCTAAGAGAGAGTGTATTTTAAATAGCGAATTTTTCTATATAATTCTGATAAAAGCCTATCATTCAAAATTATTTGAGGTTATTTAAACTCTGAATAATCTTAGATTTATTGTTTTAAGCTGATAAATTTTAATTATGATTTAAAAATACCGGGTGTCAATAGTAGGTACATAGAAATTAACATGTGTTTAACTAGCGACAGCCTACAATTTTAAGAAACTTAATCTCTTTAACATACATAGCGGATTTGTTTACATGTTGTCTCGCGTAATTTTATAATAAAAAAAGAATTGTCTGAGCAAAATATTGTTGTTTACTAGTAAATAATAAATTATATTCGAAGTTTAAATTTCAATTAAACCTGAATAATAGGGTTGACACCTGTCAATAATAGGGTCTATGGGTGTCAATAGTTGGCTCCGATACCATTTCACCCTGTCAATCATACCTACACTTGAGTTGGTGATTTCAAATTAATATATTTGTCATTTAATTAACGACTATTTAAGTATAAAAATGAAAATACACAAGTTGATGAATCAAAAAAAGTGTCTAATACAAAAAAAAATTAGTCAGATTAATTTGAATACGGTTAAAAAATTCAAATGTTCACCGTCACTCTTATAGTGTCAATAATGGGTGCCCTTACCTTAAAATAAATTTTACTATAAAGGTAGTTACTGCGAATTTGTAATTAATATTAATGAAACATAGATTAATATATTAAAATTAAAAATAATTACCAGCGTCCGTGTATGGTATGAAGGCAGACTATGAAAATTTTCAATGGTCAGCAGACTGCTGCAGGTATCAACAGTATAAAGCCTGGGTTCAAAAAGCAGCGCGCCATCTTCTTCATTCTTAATAACATCCTGGACCCGGTCATGCTGTCCCGAGTGGAAGGACATTCCAATAGCCATTCTTTCAACAAAAAATTCTTTGTACTTATTAGTCAGAGGCGATAGCAACAATTCCGCGAGTTGTCTTGGAGACATCATTGGAAATCTAATAGGAGTCATCACAGCAATCACCAGCTGCTTTAATGTCATCTCATACTCAGTAGGCGTCAGCTGGTGCTTCAATCTCTGTACCTGGTGGTCCAGCCACGACTCTAGACATTTGTACAGCGTCATCTCGTCCCGGATGACCAGCGAGCTCTGGTGCAAGAGCGTTACTAAGACATCCAGTTCAAAGTTCCCAAAGTCCGCGGTTTTAGCTACCAGCTCGACGTTCCACTTGATGAAGTTCTGGCAGGTCTGGGTGATCGCGTAGTGCCCGCAGTTCGAGGTGTAGTCCAGCCAGGACACTAGGGTTCCGTGGATAGCTGCTACTGCGATGTGGTTCTGCATGTACTCAAGGCACAGGGTTATCAGGTCTCGAACGTTGTACTTGTCTGCTAGTGAGAGGATTGGCAGGACTACTTCGTAGCTGATACGGATTTGTCCGGTGTAGAAGTAGCGGAGAAATTCACTAAATATTGGAACGCACTGAGGAGTTTCTTGGAGAGTTACGCGGCTTTCTTGGGATTCTGTCCACTGCGGGCTCATTAACATCACCTGTTTAAGTTTAATAAAATTTTATTTATCTTGTGAACTGTTGACATTTCTAAAGATATAAGCTCATCTTGATGTTGCACTCATCGAGACCTTTCATTTGAGTATCCACATCAATTTTTCATATATTTTATATATTTATATATATTATATATATGTATATATGAAAAATATATCAAAAATGCATGTGGGTATTCAAATGAAAGGTCTTGATGAGTGTAACGTCAAGATGAGCTTATATCTTTAAAAAGGCCAATAATTAAGAATTGACATTGCTATCTTGTCAAATAATGATATTTTTAAAAATATAAGCTCACTCCGACATTACACTCATCGAGACCTTTCATTTGAATACCC